ACAAAATAGAAGGCATAAATGTACTCTCTGCCCCTTTCCCTCCCCCTTTTTCTTTCTTTTCCTCATACTATGTATCAATTAACCACTGTCTCCTTCTATTCCATAACCAAATATACTCTTGTAAACCCTCGTCATCTTTCACAGGATTATTGCAGTTACTTTTTGTCTGGTATCTCAGCCACCATTGAATCTATTCTATACATGGGTCCTACTAGATTTATAACTCCACTCTACATTCAAAATTTCTCATAGACTCCCTTTGACAACAGAAAAGGCATATCTACAACAGAAAAGGCATATCTCCAAATGATGCTCTTGCAATCCTTAATGATCTAGTTTACTTTTACTTTTCATCCTTATGTCATTCCTAGCATTAACATCATAAAAATCCCCAGATGTGTACAACATGCTTACCTCTATTATTTTGGACATTTTTTTTTCCTTCTGCCTGAAATGCAATTCCTTTTTAATCATCCTTCAAAACCCAAATAAAATATTACTTCTAACGAGAAACCTATCCTAACCATCTTATCAGACTTGCTTGTTACTTAGTTGTGCTTTGAATTGAATGGAAATGTACTAATTAATTAACAACAAGCTTCTCAATGTTACTACCCCTCCCCACTGGGGGAATGTCAGTGTCTGATTCAGTGTTCAGTAAACATAAGTTTCTTGTGATTCTCCTACTAAAATCTGTTTACTCATTTATAAAATCAGGGGCCTGGATAAAGTGAACTTTTAAAACGCTTCTGAAAAATCTTCTTTAAATTAACCCATATACCTTCTTGACTTCAAGTCTTTTCTCGAATACCATTGTTTTCAAAAAGGTCTTCTCTAACTACTCTTTAAATTCAACCCTCCTGGAATATATCCCCTTCCCTGCTGAATTGTCTTTGTAGCACTTTTCTTCAAATAACATACTGCACAATTTATTTGGGTTGTTAATTGTCTATCTCCACCAGAACAAAATCCATGAGGGCAGGACTTTTTTCTATATTGTTTATCACTGGATTTCTAACCAATATAGACCATGCAAATTATCCTGCCACAGCAAGGTTGCACCTCATATGTAAGGCATAATCACCATCCTTTGTGTACATCCCTAAAGGACACAGTGCAAATAGGGAAAGGGAGTCCAGTTCACAAGGCAAAACTAGAGAAATGAGTGTTCCTGTCTTTCTTATCCTTGCTCTTCCCTCGTGATGCCCTCCCCTTTGGAATTTAGTGACCTACATTTTCTCCTTTCCTTTCCTTCATAAGGTCTATAGAAAAGTTCACCAATGCTGAAGCACCAAATACTGCCATCATCTATGATCTCTCTTAAGGGATAGAAGCCCATAATATAAACCACTGGAATAAAACTCAACTTATTTGGGACTTCACACACTGACAAGTAGAGGGAGAAGGTGGCATATTTTCAAAATGAATAAATTCCATGAAGCTTGAAATCATCAGTTTCACGTAAATGCGGATAACTAACAAAATATTTCTGAAGCACCTCCTGATGTGGGCTTGTTTATCTCCCTTCCACATTTTATCCTCCATTTTAAGCCTTAGCTGTGAAGCTGGAATCAGGATATAGAATATCTCATTTAAAAAGCAGGAAGTGGGGTGGTAATGTGGCACAGTGGGTCAACCTGTCTCTTGTGATGTCCATATCCCGTATCAGGATGCCTGGGATCAAGCCTACCTCCATTTCCAATTAAGCTTTCTGCTAATATGCACCCTCAGAGGCAGCAGATGATAGCTCAACCACTTTGGTCTCTCACTGATGCAGCAGACTTGGATGGAGTTCCTGGTTCCTGGCTTCAACCAGTCCAGCTCCAACTATTGCAATCTTTTTGGGAGTGAACCAATGAATGGAAGTGTTTCTCTCTCTCTCTCTCTCTCTCTCTCTCTGTGTGTGTGTGTGTGTGTGTGTGACCCTACCTTTCAAATACATATATATATATATATATATATATATATATATATTCAAATCTCATGTTTATCCCATCTAGAAGTCCTTAAGGAATAATATAGAAATATCTACAATTTTCTGTCTTTGGCAATTTGTGGGAAACAAAGGAGCCAAATATTGACAGAGGGTTCTAAGGTGGATTCTAAGACTCTTGCTCCACAAACCCTCGATTATGGGAAAAGCTGGAATATAGTGGAATCCAATAGTTTGATAGAACTGGGGGACTAGAGGACTCTGAGGCTGATAAGGGCTTTAGCAAATCTCTCTAGCTTTACTATGGGAACCTCTGCTAGGTTCAACTACTGTCTATTTGCCTATCTCCAACAAGAAGGCAGTGACAGTGGGATGATGGTTGTACAAATGGACAACCAGAAGGCTTCCTGTTTCCTATCATCTTAGGGAATGCATTAAGAGACCCCAAAATCCCCATTTTCCACAGATGAGAGGGACTTAGGATGCTTATAACATAGTGAAGCAAAATCTAGAAGTTGGAACAAAGAAAAAAAATTGTAGACTTTTATTTTGAGGTTATATAAAAATGTCCAGTATCTTATGCTCTAGTGGTGAATACCAGCCAAAACTTGCTGTATCACAACAGTCATGAATTCAGGAAGCAGCCCAGACTGGTCAGTCTCTCACCCCAATCAGCAAGGATTCCTTTAATACTGTATAGGTCTGAGAAACCTTCTTTCCTTCTTTACCATGATGGGATAGCATAAATAATACACTATACTACCTTGGAAAGGAACAAAGGAAAGAGAAAATTTGAGATTTTCCAAAAAGGGCTTTCCAGGGAATAGGTTCCTGTGAAGAAGATAGGATGAATTATAGGAAAACAGAAAAACCACATTTACTTTACATATACATACATTAAGGGTAAGTATTTTCTCACTCAATGCATTTTTTACACCTTAGTTTAGTGAAGTCAATAGGAGATTTCCTGGGATTTTTAAGATTCAGTACGTTGAAAAATTTTACACCACTGAGTGATTACATCCCATAGCCTAAAATAAAAATCCAGAGTTAAGGCTATGACCAAGGAAGTGAGCATTTGAAATACTGATAAAGGATGAACACTGTAAGATATAAAAGAGTTGTTAGGAATTGTTATCACTTAGTTTGTATAGTATAGCAAGTACAGCCATGTTTGTAGAGAGGGGATCTCAATACTATGAGTTCTAACCCATACCTGGAGCATATATGGAAATAGTAATTTTGGAAGAAGAGATTGGACTTCAATAACTAACCAGAAAAAGAATGCATAGCTAATATTTCATAAACTAAGTTCATTAAGGGAGATTCAAGGAGTAAGGAACATGACAGTCTTGTGAAAGCTAGCTAAGTTAATGCCTTAGAAGTTGAAGATAGAGAATACATGCCTCCAGAGAATAAAGAGCACCATAGCTAGAGATTGGTTTTTATCATTAATCCATACTTGCTGCAACCCTTAGACAAAGATAGCTACTCAACCCCACTCCTGTATTCAATATATACTACAAGTTTATCTCACCTGAAAGGAATTTCTTACACATTATCTTCAGCTAATAAATGGTGAGGGCAGGGTAAAGTAATGGGCCAAGATTGAAGGGAACTGTGCCTTCTTAGCAGATAGTAATATGAGATGAAAGATTCAATCTATACCCAGGTATTCTAGCCAAACATGGAGTGCTTGTGTGGAAGTTAATAGGGAAATATAAATAATATAATAATTAATTTCTTATATTATTAGGCAAATGGAAGATCGGACTTTAACCATAAGTACATATCCTCTGTGGGAATACAGAGGTTCACTATGGTGGCATGATATCTATCAAATGTCTCAATTTAGGATTCCTTATAAGTAATCTTATTTTTTCTGTCTCCTACACTCTTTGCAACTGCCATTAAGAGTAATTCTAAGACTGACATCAGATATAGAAAAATTTCCATTACATGCATGGGAAGATAACCATAGCAGGAGGAGTCTTACATAGAAAAAAAGGACATTAAGACATTCTTGTAGTCTTGGTAAATGTGGGGGAAAGTATGACAGAAAATGAAAGAGAGGCAGATAGCCACAAAAGCTGTCATTCTTCTGTTCTTTACCCATACTGAGGAGCCTAAAAGAGGGTGGTGGTTGGTGATCAACATCTAAAAAGCTTCAGAGAGACTCATGTATTAGAGATAAATGGCAAGATCCTCCAACCCAAATATATTAGTGTGGGACTAAAAGACCTCATAAGAAATTCCTTATGGTGTCATCTAAAATGGAGCAAGAGTAGGAAAGGTGAGATGTCAGGGGAGGGGGGTAGATGAGGGATCTTAACATTAAATCTAACCAGTGGAAGGAAGACCTTTCTGTCTCTCTCTCACTGTCTGTAACTCTACCTGTCAAATTTTAAAAAAAAAGTAAATCCATGACTTTCCATGGTATGGCCAGGGCATGCAGGGCACTGAGATGTTCCAGTTCCTCCAGAAAGGGAAAATCTGTGGAAGTACTGGTGGACTTAGGAATAGAAGGGGACAGGATATATAGATTCCCACAGATGATCACCTTGACACTGGAGATAAAGGCCCAGGGGTCTAAGATCACAGTGGTAAATTGTCAGCACAAAAGCTGGATGGCACCACAGTACCTCAGACTAGGGAACAGCCTTGACAAGTTGCTTTTTCAGCAGGGTTTAGCTAGGATATAACAGAATTTATATGAATCTGAAACTCCCATTTTTCCCTAATTGACCCCAAATCATGTCAGCTTCAATACTTGATATATTTGTTTGTATTATAGAATAACAAGCCAAAAAAGAGGAAATCTAAGCTAATAGCCTTAAATGTCAGAGTATGCTTAAGGGGGGCTAGTAAATTATACATTAGACTCAGTTTATTGGGTAAGAGCAATGTTTATACATATCCCATTTCCGCGATGCAGTTAGGAAGAGCAGATGAGGTATAATTAACAAAAAACACTATAGGTTCTTTAAGCGTCTGAAGGTAATAGAATGAAGAATTTTTGTAACCCCATATATTCTAAATTAAGAAGGAAAAGCATCCAAAAAGCCAATTAGCAAGAAAACTTTTTTATTGATAGAAAAGCAAAACAAATTTTCCATGAATTCTAGTATTTGTTTTATTCTCTCTATTGAATATACTCAAGTTCAAAAATCAGTTATTTCTGTAGTTATTTTTGTTGTAGTTGTCACTGTCACTGCTGCTGCTGTTGTTGTTTGTGTCTCCAGAGAAATAACCCAGTGTAATCACAAGTGTCAGGCAAATATCTCTGCCTCAAACAGGTAGGGCCACCTTGATAAGTATTGTCTCCGGTTGAAATTAATTAAATTCTTATTCTCAGATAAGTATTCCTACATGGCACCAATTGTATTATTAAATTGGTGACAATTGGCATCTATATCAAGCCTTATAAGCCGTTTCTCAAATATTACCAGATAAATAAAAAAACAAACCAGAATCAGATTTACATTCAGTCCAGTGATTAAACACCCTCCTATCGAAAGAGCAATTCATTCTAATATGATTTGAAACATCTGTGATCCATAATCACTAGTCCAAGAAAAGAGTGGCCCAGATAAGCGCTTCTACTATTCTAATTAAAATTCCAGATTCACATGGTAATGGACCTGAGGAGCCTGACCCGATTCAATTTAGTTTTTCTGGTTCTTATTTAATGTATAATTTCCATGTAAAATCAGCTAGCAATTACTCAACTGTCACCCACAGAAAAGCATTTAAAGCATATATTTTTACACTGGTAAAATGAAATTGTAACCATTATCTAATTAATTAAATTAACAGTTATAGAAATGTTAGAAAGTTAGATGCCAAGAACTTTAAAAGCTAATTTATCCATATTTTCAAAAAAATTTAAACAAAATTAAATAATGTAATAATCATATTTTCACTTTACCTTTAGCTATACAGATATGTTTCATCTGCACACAAAATATATGTTGAAATTAAAAAACAAAACACAATCAGGTTTGTGGTTTAGATTGGCCCTAAACTTCTCCTGAAAATTTTTGCTTTTCATTTAGACATTTGGACCGCATTGAAATGCCCATAATTTCATTTTCACTATAACATTTCAGTCATGATCCTAAGAAAGGAAGCTTGTCCAATTATCAGTTTCCTTAGTCAACCAGGACTCTCCTCTTTCACTAAACAAAGAGAAAGTCATTCAGATTTGACTCAGAGAAATAAGTGCATGCACATACCTGACTTCTCAGTATCCTCTCTGGATAAGAGGGTGGAACAACTATTTGGTTTCTATCTCATTCTTGTAATGACAGAAAAGAGAATACAAAAAGTCCATTGTAAATTTGTACAAAATGTATGCATATATAAATACATTATATATGGGTGTATATAAATTCTAAAGGTTATATCCATCTACTTCTTTAAGATTCAAAATCTCATACAGCTGACATAATGGCATTTTCTCTCCATTTCTCCCATCTTAAAAAAACAATAAGAATCAAGCATGCCACCTTATTAATATTTAATAGCAAATGCAGAAGTTGAGCTGGAGCTTTAGGGGTTTGAAGCAATTAGTTTGACGGGACATCAGTGAATAAAATCCTTAAAATAAATTTAGTTATTTCCAGATTGTCATTTTTTCTATATAAATGAAAATCTAAATGCTCTGTTGGTAGTATCCCAAACTCTTGAGACTATAAAATGAGTTCTGTAAGAAGCAATGCTTTAAACAGGATCTGTACAGATTGCTTGGATATGTGCTTATTGCCATAATTTGGTGTGGAGAAAGTCTCAAATGATACTTGCAGAAGTTTAGGGTTCTTAGTATATTAACCTCAGCATGAAATCAAACTCACAAACTGCATTATCTTTACATAGGGTACTATTAAAAATAGTAAACCAGAGCTAACTAATGGAGAAAGCCATACACATTTAAAGGTGCACAATAGAAGCATATTACAGATGTGTGCCCACATTTAAAGGTATCAAGACCTCTCTCTCTCTCTCTCTCTCCCTCCCTCCCTCCTTCCCCCCTCCCCCTTATCGCTCTTACAATATGCATAATTATTTTATTTCTCTTGCTGTTTCTATCCCTCTGGGGAGAAAATGACAAAGGACATTACCCCCCTGCCCCAGAATTACAGGCTGCTCCTTGTAAGGGGATTATTATTGCATGCCTTGAATGCATTATGATTCATAAGGCAAGAACATATGAGTAGCTTCAGCACCAAGGAAATGGAATCATCATCCAGAACTGCTCACACAGAACATCTTATTGCTTTAATAAAATGGGAAATTATTCACTGTAAAAGTGCACCAAATAAGGGAAAGAAAGTAATATTCATGCATTTACTGGAGCTTATTGAAAATAAGGAAGCTCCCTTCTGGGTCCCTAAATCTATTCAAATTCCAGTCCAAAAGTCATTCTGTAATAAGATATTAAAGAACTATAGCTGGATGTGGGTGAGCTACAAAAACTAATGGACTTTCTTTCTCACAGTGCCTTAGTCATTCTGGTGTACAATGTAGAGCTCTGATGCACTAAAGGATTCCCTAGTGGCCTGATAGAGTTAATGCACTCTTTCATCTATTACTAGGAAGTGACTAAGGCACTGGAGAGAATCTGGTTCATTGTTTAAAATATTGTAGCCAAAGATTATACCTGGTCTTCCTAGTATAGCAACATGGCACGTTTAAATGTTAATTTTTCTGTGCTTCATGAAAGGACTTGGGTGCATATCCAATGAATGACTAAAATTAATTTTTTAATTATTTTTATATAAAGACTGAGCTTGGGCAACTTAATAGATAACAAAAAACATCAGAGGCAATATTCTTTCTGGAGAATACAGCATATGCGTGGAACAGACATAGAATACAGAGCAATGATTCATTTGGGAAGATATATTTTAGGGGCACTGTTGCCTTACCTCCTGCAGGATAGTAAGGACTTTTTTAGTTGCACTTTTTGTACATGATATTCATATATTTTTCAAACATTTGAATAGCTGTCAGAGAGTTGGTTTCTATGAAAAGATGCCATTGCATATAATTAAGACTGTAATATGCTTTCTACCCCTTCTATCATCCATCCAGCAGAAACACAGTGGTAGATAACCACAGGAAGACTCCATTTCCAACACAGATGGCCTTGTCTGGCATTAGGAGACAGAGAAGAAAACATCTATCTCCATCTCTCACTTTCCTTTTGCCTTAAATTTTTTCAAGTGTTCAACAAAGTTAACTAAGCCAGACTCAGAAAGAGAAAGAGAGTCCTTTTTCTGCTGCATCTCAAATGCAGGCACAAATTTTTAAATTAATAAGCTTCAAAAATCTTTATAAGTAGTTACTAGATTTAACTTCTCTTAAAATTTGCATGTCCTGTCACACAAATTGCCCAACACCCCCACCAGTCTCACCCTCAAACACGTAAGCAAGCACACACACCACTGCCTCCAGGTGGTAACTACATGCAGGCACTGTTTAAATATTAACCATATTTTAATAGATGGCATTCCTGCACATCCATTATATGTTTACTGTCTTTGTGGTTATTTCTATTATTTGCAAAAGAAAACATGTGTGTCATCTTTTTATAACAGTCTACTATAGAGTAAGGTACAAAAGAACACTTTTGGAAACAGCAGAAGCCAGGTCTGCACCACCAAATTCTTCATCTAGTGGTAATTATTATATCATAACAACAGCTGGAAATTAAGAGCAAGGATATACAGTTTGGAGGATGTAGTACAGAACTATATTTTTCTTCCGTATTTGGTACCAATATAATAAATCTATAACAAAGGTGCACTTGTTCTAAAATTAAAACAGAAACATTCTGGTTGGTTAGATACTGCACTTTCTGTACTGCACATCACCTAACATTTTTTTTTTACAAAAAAAGGTAATTAATGCAATGTGTAATAATAAGAAAACCAATTGTACACGCTAACCTGATTATAGAAAAAAAGGAAAAAACAATCAAAAGCAATAGGACTATAGTCACTTTCCTAAACAGCTCCTCCTCCACCTGAGGAGAAGGTAACCATTATGGTGAGGCGATTTCAGCACCAGACCTAGTTGGACAGCTCCCAGATTCTCTGAATCCTGAAAATGCCATGAGTCAAAGGTGTATGAGTGGGGTTAGGATAGGGAGCAAAGCCATAATTTTTAAAACTCACTTAAAGATTCTAAGGTACTTATACTCGGCCAGCGAGAGACATTTCTCAGCGTAAATTAGAATGATCAGTTCTGGAAAAGGTCACGGTTAACAAAGAAAGCTGAGAAGAGGGTTGACTGGAGGGGGTACCTGTAATGAGCATTTTTCTGGGACTTTCTCTGTGGCCTCTTGGAGTCCTGGTGCTTACTGCTGACGTTTTCTTTATAATATACTATTGCCTGAGCCCGGCTGAAGGTGAGCATGGGGAGGGAAGGGAAGCTAAAGGAAAAGTGAAAGCTGGAGCCAGGGGCAGAGGGGAAGGAAAGTAACTAAACCTTAACTTGACAGCTATGTACAACATTGCAGGGCCCGCTCCCCTCCCTTTGCTCCAGGGGTCAATGCCTTTTATATATTTGGTAGTTTGTGCGGTTTCTCCTCCTTATTGAGGGGGGCGCGGTACAGGGAGGGAAAAAATGCATCCTTCATTAACAATGAGAAATTATGTGATTTGTCATGCGCTTGGATTGTGTTATTAATATTATAATAATTACTATAAATATTAATAAAGGATTATTATCAGCGTTATTTCTTCTTCCGAGACTTTCCTAGCCCAATATTTACAAATACCGCACAGTGCCTCGGCGGAGGAGAAACGGAGTAAAGGAAAGAAGGTAAGGAGAGAAGGAAGAGGAAGGAGAGGTCAGAGGAAAATGGAAAAGGAAGGAAGGACAAAAAGCAAGGATGGCAAAGATGCTGGAAACGCGGAGGGGGAGAGGAGAGGGGCTAGACAATCAGGACAGTACCACCGTTTGCAAAAGGCCCTCGCCAGTTGGGTCCAAACAGGAGGAGGCTGCCTGTGCTCCTTGTGGACTTGGGGCTGGTGGTGGAGGTTCAGGAGCACAGGGGCCCTGGCAGGGGAGGCCAGGGGACGAAGAGGAGGAGGAGGAGGAGGAAGAGGTGGAAGAGGAGGAGGAGGAGGAGGAAGCGGTGTTGGAGGGGGCGCAGAAGGCAGAGTCCCGGGGCTGCCTCTCCAACCGGGTTTCTTTAGCGTGGTTTGGGGCCTGCGTGCCTGCCCGGGGGAGCCCCCCGCTGCTGCGGCTACCGCTGCAGTGATCCCGCTCATATTCCTCCTGAGCCCTCTGCATCTTCCGCTTCTTCATCCTGCGCTTGTGGATGTGGAAAGTGGAGAGGGACAGCACGATGAGGCAGAAGATGAGGGTGACCAGGACAATCAGCACCAGCGTGGAGGAGAAGGACTGGAAGAGCTGCTGTCCCACCTGCGTGATGCAGGTGCCGCCACCGCCGCCGCCGCCGCCGCCGCCTGCGCCCGGGCCGCGCGCTCCAGCGTTGCCGCTGCCGCTGGCGTTGGGGGAAGCAAAAGTCCGGTTGAGGAGACACGGCGGCAGCGCCAGCCTCAGCTCCTTCGGCGCCCGGGCACTCATCAGCGCTGGGCTGGCAGGGGCCAAGCCCACCAGGCTTCCTCTCTTGGGCTCACGGTTCCCACCAGCCAAGAAGAGGATGGAGCCCCCGCCACCCGAAACTACTCCCGGACTCGGGAGGGGGTGTGCGCGCGAGCCAAGGACTGAGGGATCAGCTGTTGGCAAGCAAGCTGGCCAGGGAGCGGGTGGCGCCGAGGAGATCCTCTCTGGTTCCGCCTCGAACGCGACTCCGCGCTCCCTTTTTCGTTCGCGAAAAGGCACCAGGCTGCAAAGAGAACAGGCTTAGGTTATGTTCCCGGCCGCTACCCAAGGCAGTGCAGAGCACGGGAAGAATCGGCCACCACTGCAAAGCGGCTGACGGAGCACGCGGCCCCAAAGGGGCGCTGGCCGCCTTCTCTGCAGCCGGCAGACCCCTGCCCGCCCGCCCCTGGCAGCACACCAGAGCCTCCCGTAGCCGGCTGGAGCCTCTCGCCGGGGAGGGGTCTACGCTGGAACCGCGGAGGTGCAGATTACTCAGCAGATAAGGCAGCTCCCTGCGCCTTTCACAACTTTGCAATTGCAACAGACCCGGCGGTCTTCTCGGCTTGCGGTCCTACTTCCCAGAGCGCCGACTCGACTCTGCTTCCCTGCGCCCTTTCCGTGGACGTCTTCGCCTAGACGCCTCTCGCCCCTGCACCCACTCCGGGTACGCAGTCCTATCTTCCCTTCCCTCCACCTCCAGAGTCTCCCTCCCCAGACGACGTCAGATCACTGAGGTCCCATTCCCAGGGGGTGCCCCTAGCACCACATCCCTCCCATTCTGCCTCTGTCCGCGGCGGCTGCTGACGCGCAGGATCGCGACCCATTCTTTCTCCAGCCTTCTTCTCTGGTACCCTGCCCCACCCCACCTCCCAAAACGAGCAGAAACACCTTCCTCAGCTGAAGCACATCCGCGCAAACGCCCCCTTTCCTCCCGATCGTCCTGTGTCCTTATTTGTCAGGATCCTGCTTCTCTCTAGGGGAGATAGAACTGAAAGGAAGAGGGTTCCCGCCTGCAAAGTTTGGGAAACAGACCTTACCTCCGACCTTCCCAGACCCAGCCCGCGGGCTCCGAGGCTCTTCCCGGGTACCACAGCCCGTGGACCCGCAGCGCGCAGCAAGAGCCTCCGTGCAGCTCCCAAGAGGTGGCTGCAAACTGTTGCACTGCGGAGCAGCGAGGCGGCGCGCGAGCCCAAGCTGGGGCCGGGGCAGGGGTGGGGGTCGAAGCTAGGGCCAGGGGTGCCCGCCGCAGGCCGCGGGGCTATTCTCTCCATCGGCGTTCTACTGGCGAGTCACAGGGCCATTCGAAAGCTTCGGCCTCCTTGGGTCTCTTACCTGGAGCCGCCAGCTGGCTGTAGGTAGGGAGCCCCCGCCGCGCGGCTGCAGTGCTGGCTGCAGAAAGCGCGGAGTGAAGGGGCAAGAGACCGAGCGGCGCTGCCGCCGCTGCCACCGCCTTCGCCGCTGCTTCGGGGAGCTCAGCTCCCAGCCTATTGCCAGAGAGGCCGGTGACGTCAGGCAGCCACCGCCAGGGCTCCAAGCCACCCTTCAGGCCCCCACCCACCCTCATACCCCAACACCTTGTCCTGGCAGAGGGAGCCTCCGTCACACAGGTTCCCAGTTCTCTGTTCTGCTGTGGGCCTAAGAGGAGCAGCCACCTCCCCCACCCTACCAGCAGCCCACCTCTCTACACCCCCTTGCCTAGGAAGGGCTGAGGCTTTACTTCTCCAGCTGTCGGATTCCTCACTCTCATTCTCCCAGATGGTCCGAGGAACACATTTGCACACCCTGGAGAACCCTCTCCCCAAGGTGCACAGACCAGACTTACTCCCTGGTGACTGATGAGGATTCCCCCGGACCGCAAATCCTGTCTATGCTGCTCCTTTTTCTGAACATAAACTGCCCGCAATAGGGGTATAACAGATGTCTCAACGCAAGTGTGACAGAACCTGAAGCACAAACCCGGACATGAATCAAATAATCCAAACTAACCATTTTCCTTGCCACCAGAGTGCCCAAATTATTTTCATCCCACCCATCTCATTATCTTCTCCTCCTTCACAAACTCATCTCATTATCTTCTCCTCCTTCACAAACTCATACCCACTAATGTATTAAATACCCACTAATGTATTAAACACTCCTCTTCTATCTAGACACCAGCCGTTAATACTCGTGAGCAGGAAGGTGAAATGTCTCCTAGGAGTGCAAGTAAACTGCCCTGTGCCATTCTGGGTATCTCTCATGAGGCACCCCTTCACTGGCCCTAAATCTTGGTAAAGTAAGTGCTTGGTGCATTTGTTCTATAGCCTTTCAGCACAGTAGATAAAACTTCTGGAAGGGTTCTCAGCAACCTGAATAAATCTGAGTTGGGACTAGTCAGTTGAAGAACTTTGGAAAACATACAAAGAGTGCATTTGGTCACAGTAGCCATCTTTGAGATGACGTGTGTTCATTTTGCTATTGGAGAAGTCAGATTGGAATAGGATCTAAGGAAATCCATTTTATTATTAATGCACATTTCCTTCTTCCTTCCCGGCTGTTTTCTTCCTGTCACCGAGTCCAACACAATGCCTGAACAACACTTGCTAAATTGAATGATACAGTATACACGACTACTTTTTCCTGATATGCATCAGAGATGAGAGGTAGCAGAAATGGTTGATCCCTACCTGCTTTTATTTGTTGTACTTGTGAAGAAAGAGGATCTGCCCCCTGGAGATGGAAGTTGTCTGTAATCTGGGGTCTCTTCCTCTCACCCTGTGTTCCTATCTAGTCTTACTACAAATTCTCTTTTTTCTGTGCTAGCATATCACATATAGAAGAAGAAATAAATCACATCTCCACAAAATTCTTTCATTTATCTGAATAAATATCATCAGTTTTATCTTTATAGCCATCTCCATAAAAAGGCGTATCTCTGTTTAAACTAACAGCTCAGTAATGCTGAAAATATTGATTCAGAACATGGATTAATATCAAAGTCACACAGATAATGATTATTAGTGAACCCAAAGGTAATATACTCTTCCCGCCTGGAAGGAAGACATCTGATTCCCATGAAAGCCATCTGCCACATTTGGACATTCTGATTTTGGTGATGATTAAATGATACTTCACCACTGACACCTGAAAAATTATGCCTCATTTTTGCATACCGTCTTTGCTCCTGAGAATTTGAGTTTAATCAATATTTTGTAAAGAAAATCCAATTTTGAAAACTCCCAAAAGAGATCTGGCTATTTAAGGAGACTCTTCAGCATTAAAAAAAAACTATCTTACAAAACAAAGAATCTTTACATAATTAAAATGGTCTGTTTCTTAGATTTGCAGGAAGGAGTTATTGAGTTTTTCCATGGGAGAACCTATCTTTATCACTTGTTGTATTAGGATTAGAGTATGTATGCAATGGATTTCCTCTTGCACACCAAGCTTCTAGGATATGTCATGAGGCTGCCATGTTATTCTTTTTCTGTTACAAATGACAAATATTTGTTATACTAGGAATGTTAAAGTGTCTGCACCATTCTACACAACCTATCAAAAGACATATTGCTACCCTGGAGCATTAATAATTCACAGCAGATGAATGTACAAGACAATGGTACTTAACTGAAGATGAGTTAGGTAGATTAAAGATACAAATTTTCAGGTCAAAAGCCCACTACATTTTTTCCATTTCTGTTTCAAAAAGAATAGGTGGTAAGTTCATAATTTGTTCTTACCCAGTGGACAAATGTGCTAAATATATAGACTTAGATATCCAAGCCTAGGAAGTAGCAGTGACAGCAAATATGCATACCCATTAGGCTGCAGGAATCCACCTCAGTTAATTGTCATGTTTTGGCACATCTGGCACAAAGGTAAGACTTCTTCCTGACAACAGATTTTCACTATATTTTCATCAGACTCCAAAACCACACTCCCAAATGGAGAACCAAGAAGTTTATGAATTCCATAATCTTCCTTAGTGATGGACACAGGTATGTTGCAAGTCTTAGGAAGCACATAATATATGCTCTCAAGTTTAATGAAGAATTTCTATCTGTTTTAGTGCCCACATGGGCACTAATACACCAATCAAAGAGGTACTGGGTCATTAATAACAGTAAAAATAATAGCTATCATCATTATTTGCAAAACATGTATATATACCAGGCTGTACTGAACTCTTTACATGTTAGCATTGATCCTTAGCCCTGCAAAGTTATGGTTGCCAAAATACAAACTTATTCATTCATTCACTTATTCATTCAACAAAAATCTTTGAGTATCTTCTAAATGTAAGGTAAGGAAATTAAACCTCACACTGGCTAGAAGTCTCACTCAAATTACTGAATAATAAGTATATTATTAGGTATTGTTTTCAATTTTCATGACTAGTTGCCTCTGTGTGTGTGTGAGAGAGAGAGAGAGGGAGAGAGAGAGAGAATTCTATTTATATCTACTTCTGATTAGGGTAAGTTAGTTAAAGGAGAAAAGCAGAGATGTTTGAATTAAGCACAGGAGGGAAAAGAGAAAACTCCTATTACTTGCATCCTCCTCTCTCTCCAGCATCTCCAGGACCTCCACAAAGGTCTTTCAACCAAGTAGAATGTTGTTTGGAAACCATCTTACTAGGTCACTTAGGCAGATCATTCTGGACCACAGTACAGTAAAATATACACCAGAATTACCAGGACATTTTTAGAGAATGTGTAGCAGATCTTTGTATTTTGTGTAATCATTTATCTCTTCTGCTCTGGGTCCCTTCTAATCTACAGAGGTATACCTATATGATGTCTTTTTATTATGAAACCAATACTGTCCCAGCCAGCAATTAACCAATAAATGAGGCTGTATGAAGCTCTTGGCTTTTTCTTAGTTAATTAGTTCTTCTTGAATTCGATATTTTTATCTGTAGAATGGGACTAATTATAATGTATCTTCTTTATGGTTCTATTTTAAGCATGAATCACCCCACAAGCAATCAAAAAGTAATACTTATTTACATAATAAAGGAAAACACTAAGATTTGCATTTTATCCCTGAAAATGGAAGAATTATATTGTTTGGGGCATCAGGAAAATTTGATAAGTTTTTATTTCCTTTAGGGAAAATGATCAGAAGGATTAAAGGACTGAAATTAGTAATAGGTAATGAACAAGTCAAGGACCTTGGAACTATTAATCCTAGAAATGGAAAGTGAGGGATGCATCATAACATCTTTCAATGTTTGCAGCATTATCAATAGAAGAGAAATTTATCATATTCCAAATACTCAAGAGAAAACTAAAATATAGTAGAGCAGATATAGAGAAGCATTTCAATTCATTATTTCAGCAGTGGAATGGCATGTGTAACCATGTAGCAAGTTGTCATCTATACCAGCAGTCTTCAAACTGGGGGAATCATATCACTGAGAGTATATTAAAGTTCTTCCACAGAAATATGAATTGTTACATATAATTTCAAGGGAATTATTTTGCAAATCCTCTACCTCTGTGTGTACTTTTCCCAACAATGTCTTTATCTGTGATTAAAATGTATGCTTTGTCATATCTTATATTTCTGTTATCTCACAAAAGAAAAACATGTCTTACCAACCTTCAATCTTACAACTGTGCATAACTCAGGGTAAAAGAGCCTCTGGAGAAATAAACAAAGAACTATCTAAAGGCTATATTACCCCTGAGGAAGGTAACAACAAAGGAAAAAGATAGGTAATCTGTAAAAATATTGCTAGAACAGGGGCTTATTTCATTTACAGGACAAATTCATTTTAACATTCTATGTCTTATCTATATATTGATTTATCTTAGAATTTAAAATTGAGATGGTGTTCACAGTAATGAAAGTATTCTGGATTTATTAAGCTGAAAAATTAATCTAAACTTTTTCTTAGGGAAAGTAAGCCTTATTTGGCTGACAATTTGAACTGCACCTCCTGATAAATAATATAGAAAACACACTATACAAATTGAGTGAGCAAAATCTATTTATCCCAGGATATGACAAAGCATATTTAAAGTACATATAAGATATGGAATATGCCAGAAATTATATTCACTGCAACTGTTATGTTTATGATTTGAAAGTTTTAGGTGTCAACTTCAAATGTGAAAGTACCCATGATTTTCCAAAAGTTTTTAGAGAGCACACAGGTAAAAAAATAATGAAGGTTATTTTTTAAAAGTATCTGGCTCCCATAATACCATCTGGAAAAATTCAAACACAAATTAGACCCATCAGGAGTATCATAGAGATTTCTTAATAGGATGAGAACCAGGTGAATTCTTCAAGTTCAAGAAATAAAATAAATAAAACTATTCACCTTTACATACCTTTCAGAGCCCTGCTAAACTCTAGCTACACAATATATGCCTCATTGCACTTCAAAATAAAAGCATTCTATGATTATCCCTGAGAACCAGCTAAATCTGGATATTTATGCAAAAAGTCAAAATTCCTCATTCTACTTTATCCATGAGAAGAAAACTCATTCATTGACCAAATATTCATTTTATGTTCACTGTGTCCCAGAAATTGTACTAGGTATCTGGTATATCAGTGACTAAGGAAAAGTCTCTGTTATCAAGGAATTGCATTCTAATTACAAACATTCTTATTATCCAGCCAAGTGCAAAGAAATCTATTTTCCCTACATTTTTTTTAAAAACATTATTTCTGGCTGGTTGTTTATTTGAGAAGCAGAGAAAGAACAGAAAGAAGTAGAGAGCAACATACCTACATATA